AACCTCAATGTGAGAACACAACACATGCAACTTTGATGGCTGCCTGCTACACACCCCCCATGGAGGGTTGAGCCTACAACCCAGGCATGTGTGCTGACCTGGAATCAAAGCAGCAACCTCCTTGTGTAAGGGAGGATGCTCAACCAACTGAGCCACACCAGGCAGGGCACTTTGTTAATTTTTAAATGGATTGTTTTTTGTTGTTGAGTTTTAGGAGTTTCTTATATTCTTCATATTAACATTTGGATATATATCTGGATATAAAGCAAGTATATAACTTGCAAATGTTTTCTTTCACTCTGTGGCTTGCCTTTTTACTCTGTTGATTGTTTCTTTTGATGCACAAAAGTTTTTAATTTTGATGTAGTCCAATTTATCTGTTTATCACCTGTGTTTTTAGTGTCATATTCAAGAAATAATTGCCAAATCTGGTGTCATAAAACTTTTCCCATATGTTTTCTTCTAAGGGTTTTATAGTTTTAGCTCTTACATTTTAGGTCTTCGATTATTTTGAGTTCATTTTTTGTACATGGTGTAAGATAGGGTCCAGCTTCATGCTTTTGCATGTATATATCCAGTATTCCCAACACCATTTGTTAAAAAGGCTGCCCTTTCTCCTTTAAATGGTTTTGGCACCTTGGTGAAATTACTTGACCATACATCTGAGGGTTTATTTCTGGGCTATTTCACTCCATTGGTCTTAAGTGTCTTTATGCCAGGACTACACAGTTTTGATTATTATAGTATTGTAATAACTTTGAAGGTTTGAAATCAGGAAGTGTGTGGCCTCCAACTTTGCTTTTCTTTTTACTTGATTGTTTTGGCTATTCAGTGATTCGTTGAGATTCCATATGATTTTTGGATGTATTTTTCTATTTCTGCAAAAAAATGCTGTTGGGTTTTTGATACAGTTTGCATTAAATGTGTAGATCACTTCAGGTAATATTGACATCTTATCAATATTAAATCTTCCAATCCATGTAAATGGGATATCTTTTCATTTATTTATGTCTCTTAATTTCTTTCATCAACATTTTATAGTTTTGGGGGTACAAATCTTTCATCTCCTTGCTTACGTTTATTCCTAAGTATTATTTTTGATGCTGTGGTAGATAAAACTAGAGGCCCAGTGCACGAATTTGTGCATGGGTGGGTCCGGCTAGCCCAGCCCCATTGGGGCGAAAAGGGGCGGGCCTGTCAGGAGGAGGAGACAGTGAGAGGTTGGCCAGCGGCCTGCCCTGATCAGGCCTAATCCGGGCAGGCTGGCTTGGGGGAGGGGCCACAGGCAATTGGCCAGCAGGCCCCGCCCATAATTGGGGTGGGAGGGCCAATTGGGGGAGGGACTGGGCTGTGGGTGGTGGGCCAGCTGGCTCGACCCCCGAATGGGGTGGTGGGGCCCATCAGGGGTCAGCATCTGGGGAAGGGGCCATGGAAGGTTGGCCGGCCAGCCCCAGGCCCGATTAGTGTGGGGGCATGGCGATCAGAGTGGGGGAGCCAATTGGGGGCAGAGATGGCTGGGGGGGAGGGCCCATGGGCCAATTGGGGGGGTGGCCCCCATCGGGGGTGGGGCCAGGTAGGGGGAAGGGCTGCGGGCGGGGGAGTTGGCCAGCTGCCCTGCCCTTGATCAGGGTGGGAGAGGCCAATCAGGGGCAGGGCTGGCTGGGTGGGGGGCAGGGGCCATGGGAGGTTAGCCAGCTGGCCCCCCGCTCCCCATCGGCCCATTTGCTGGCCGCAGTGGGTGTCATAGTGACCGCTCGTTCTGGTGGTTACTGTGTTCCGGTCGCTGGTTTTTTATATATATAGATTATTTTCTTCATTTCCCTTTTGGAATGTTCATTATTATGTATAGATATGCAACTGTGTTTTTGTTGTTCTTGACGGTATTACAGATGTCCCAAAACTGATTTTGAGTGTTGATTTTATATCCTGTAAATATGCTAAATTCATTTATTCTAACAAGTTTTTTTTTTGTGTGTGTGTGTTACCTTTAAGGTATTTTACACATAAGAACAGGTCAGCTGCAAAAAGATTATTTTACTTCTTTCTTTCCAATTTGGATGCCTTTTATTCTTTCTTCTTGTTCTTGTTTCTCCTAATTGCTCTGGCTAGGACTTCTAGTACAGTGTTGAATAGAAGTGGTGAAAGCAGGCATCCTTGTTTTGTCCTGATCAAAGAAAGGAAACGCAGTCAGTCTTTCATCATTGAATATGATGTTATCTGTGGGCTTTTCATATATGACCTTTCTTATGTTAGGATAGTTTCTTTCTATTCTTAGTTTGTTGAGGCACCACTTTTGTCTTTTTCTTCTTCCTCTGTTCTCAATCCAGATCATACCAGCTTGTCACTTGACTTCCAGTAATAACCATTCCTACATTTTAGTGGACAAAGAAGGCAGCTTTGATTTTCCTTCTTCAGAGAATTAGCCATAGTTCTCTTCCCCTTTCCCTTAATTCATCCACTTAAAACACAAACCTCTGTTGAGGCTGCATCGTGTGCCAGGCATGGGCATGATGCTTTCTTGTTCACAGGAGGTTTTATGTATGTTGCCTCAACCTTCACAGGAGCCTCTGAAATACGAATGATTCCTGTCTCTATATTCAGAAGCAGAGATGCAGAGGGGCTTGCCAGCTCTGACTTCTTTGTCCTAATGTATTAACCCTTGCTATTTGTGTCCAGCCCTTAAGCCATGTTGCTGGCCCATGGGTAAATGCCTCCTGTCCCTCCTGAGCTGGCTGTGATCTAAGTGGGAAGGGCCCAGGTCCAATTCTGAAGTCTTTCTCTCCTTATGTTCACAGAAGTCCTGGGAACACGTCAAGAAGTGCAAAAACAACGTGTGTCCAAATCGGGCCTTAGTGGCTCAGCTGTCACAATGGGAGACGATTGTTCTCGGAGGCTTCATCACAGATATCTCGGTTCCACTCTGCTGATCTCTGTGGCTCAGCTATGGTTCTGAAGAACGTTGCTGGGAGCTTCTTGTGGGGTAATGGGCGGGGGTGTGTAACCAGGTTGGTGTGGAAAAAGGCCTTTGCTACCTGGAGCCTCTTGTCAGCCTCCTGCATTGGTTCTTCCCAAGCTCCTGGTTCATGCCACATAGCAGATACCCTGCTCAAACTCAGCGAGCACCCTGATGTCGCCGGCACCCCCCACCCCCATCATCCTGGACCACCCCCACTGCCCTCCTGAGGCTGCCTGCCAGAGCAGCCCCATGTCCCCCCCATGACTTGGACCCTTTGAAGGCTACCTGGGGGAGCTCTAGGGGTTCCCTCTGCCAGTGGTAGATCATAGGGGTATCACAATACCCACCCATGGGCACATTCCCCAGTCCTAGGGATGCAAGCCCAAGCTTGGCAACTGAGAGGCTCCTGGCATAAGGGTACACTTTTGTCTCATCTCCAGTCCCAGCGTGCCCCATCACTCCATCATTTGTACAAATTTCCTTGTCTTCCTCCCACTCATTTCTGCCTACGTGTTTACCAAGAAGAGATTCCTAGCCCTCCCATCTTCCACACACAGGCTTCTATAAATTCCTCAGGTCATAAAAGGAGTTTTCTTCAGAATGGGTAGCACCCACAGAACAAGCCTGGAGCAGGACAGGGCACAGACAAGGGAACGGATGAGGAATTTAGGATGTCCATCAATTGCTCATTCAGCAAATATTCCCTGCTCCTGGGCAGGGCTGGGGACAGAGAGGTGAATGCCATCTCACCTCTGCAGAAGGTTGGAGGTCCCGCCTACCCCAGCAGGCCTAAGCCCTCGAGGGGGGTAAGGGCTTTTCTGGCCACGCAGGCTTCAGTCAGGATCTCAGCTGGAACACATCCTGGGGTGGCCGCAGCGCTGGCTCTGACGTTAGGGTCCTGGTGGTAGGCAGGGCAGAGCCTTTGGGAAGTTTTTGCAGGGACATGGTGGGGATTCGCCTTGTGTTTTCGGAAGGGCAGTCTGGTAGCTGTGTGAAGGGACAGTAGCGGCGAGCCTGGAGGCAGGGAGACAGGAGGCCGCTGTAAAAATCCAAGCGAGGGAAGAGGTTCAGAATTCCCTCCTCGCTGAGGCGCAACTTCCCAAGAACGAAAGTGTTTGAAGCAGGTGGCACCGCTGTGGGCTTTAGAATACGTCCAGCATGACGGGCCGGGGCAGTGCTGGCTGCACCACGCGGTTGGCACAACTAGGGGAGCCCAGCGAGGGACCG